AAAGGGAATCGTAACTGTCATTCTAATAGATATATTTTGATAAAAGTTTAGTTTTAACCCTCTGATATTTACATAGCTGTAATAAAAGATTAAGCAATAAGGTAGTTAGTTTATTGTGCTAACCTAGTTTATTGTGCCACGTGGGGTTAATTGAAGGGCAGAGAGATAAATGGCTCTGTGAGCCTCGCCTTTTGAGTTCTCTGGTCTCTTGCTTTCTGATGGTTGGACCAGGGTGCAACTGCCTTAGTCAGAAGACATCCCCGAGGAGAAGCCACATGGACCTACCCCGATACAGTCCTGGGTGCTGGAGCACCCGTGTGGAGACCCCTGCCAGCGCTGAGATGCTTACAAGTTCACTGACTCGCTTTCCTCCTGCAGTCGGCATCATAGTGTGTGTTTTGGATTAGTGTTGGACATAGGGGCTAATGTTGGACTTGTGGGATTGGGCAGCACTGGGTTGGGATGTTTTCTTGATGTGCACTTACCCTTTATATAAAACTCTCTCTTAACCATGAGTTTCTGTGGATTTGTTTCTCTAAAGTACCCAGGCTAGCACAAGCAGAAAAGCATTTGAAAGTTATTTTCATCTTGGTTGAATAACAAAATGTGTACGCCTACTTTCAGTATTTAAGACAAGAAAATTTTTCTTTCTTTCTTTTTTTTTAGAAAACAACTACAGTGTAACTATGAAAGAAGATAAAATTATAAATAAATGCATTTATGAAATGTAACAAGCGCTCAAACTAAGCCCAATTAAAATCAGTTATTTCAGATTCCCTTAAAATTATTCTGCTACTTTCATTTATTTTGTCTTCTGCTACTACTCATAGAAAATCTGTAATTAGTGCAGCATTGATGAAAAATTTGGGTGCAAAACTGTTTAGAAATTTCCATCTATTATTTTCTCCCACAAACTAAGAAAATACTCAGTTTATTCTCTGACTGGCAGAGTGAGTGTCTCACTGCCTCCTTATAGAACCAGTTCAGGAATATGGTTCGACAACGATTGCATTAAATGGCTGCTTGCTGTAAAATGATGCTAGGTACTGTTTTCTTTTGTTATTAAAGTCTTATCGTAACAGTCAGACCCTAACATTTTATTTTTACCAGGTTGTCCTGGAGGAGAAAGATGATACTTTTACTCCCAGAAAGATAGACAGTCTCAGAAGCCTGCAGGGACAGTTGTCCTCTGCCCTGTAGAATCACTGCGAGTCAGAATCACTTCGATGAGATTGAGTTTGGAAAGTACTAGAATTGGTAACTGACAGTCCAGTTTTGAGATTAGTCTCTGCCATGTTCTAAGCTCTTTCATGATAAGCAAATCAAAACCTTTTGGGGTTTTTGTTTCTTCACCTGAGAAATTTAAAATTCTTCCTCTTTTTTTCCCTTCCTTCCGCTAAACATTTATAGTGCACTTGTGACATAAGGGTTAGGTTCAAAGCTTACAGAGATAAATGCAATCAATAATTCACAGTCATTAATTGATAAGTTCTGTGTGATATGATAAAATAGTCAAATCATGAAAATGATAATAACTAAGATGGCTAACTTTGATCATTTACTATGTATCAGGTGCTGTTCCAAATGTTTTTCATCTATTAATTTATTTAATCCTCCTTACCATCCTATGGGGTGGTGGTGGTTAGGTATCACTAAGCAGGTGCTATTATGATCCCCATTGACCAGAGAACCAGTAATTTGCCTAGGAATGTTAAGTACTAGGCTGCTAATCAAAAGACTAGCTACTTGAACCCACTGTGTGCCCTGTGGGAGAAAGATAGGGCAGTTTGTGTCCATAAAATATTGCAGCCGTGGAAACTCCGTGGGGCAGTTCCACTCTGCCCTTCGAGAGCTGCTATGAACCCGGAATAACTCGGTGGTGGTGGCCTATGTAGTTATTACGTGGCAGTCCACATGTGAGATTATGTCTAAAACACTCTGCAATCCTTCTTGTCAGTGTGATGAGTACTGTGTAATAATTAGAAATAAGAAAGTCCTAAGGAAGCTTTGAGCAATGATTTACTAGATTTACCAGTGGGACTAGGAAATTGTTCACGGAAGAGGTGATAGATGTTTTGGATCTTGGAAGATGGGTAGAATTTGAAACTACTGGGGTTAACTGGTCTTTGTGTAGGGAATAACAGCACACCAAAAGCAAAGCAGAATAAAGAGAATGCCAGGCACTTCTAAAAAAGCCCTTTATAAGTATGGTATCCTTTAGGACTACTCGGAGCCCTGGTAGCACAGTGGATTAAATAGTGGGCTACTAACCAGAAGGTCAATGATTCAAACCCACCAGCCACTCTGAAGAAAAGAACTGAGGCCACCTTTCCTATAAGCATTTACAGTCTCAGAAATCCTTTGGAGAAGTTCTACTGTATAGGACCACTGTGAACCAGAATTGATTAGGTAGTATGATTCTTGGATACAGGGGAACTGCCCCCGTTGGTTTCCCAGACTGTAACTCTTTATGGGAATAGAATCAAGCCCCATCTTTTTCCCTTTCTTGCATTTAAGTAAGGCTACAGAACTGCATGCACCTTTCCAACTGATTTACCAGTTTTTTGGTTTTTGTTTTAACTTTGGACATTTTGCTGTGGTTTGGGTTACAGGTTACAGCAGTTTATGCAGTTTGGTTGGTGACAACTCTAGTTAAAGTTCCCTCAGCGTAACAGTGCTCTTTGCTTCTTCCCTGGGCTCCCTGTTTTCATGGGTCCTTGGCTGTCCCTTCACGCCTTGCGAACGTTGTTTTTGTGCAGTGCTGTCCTTTTGCTGTCCTGGCTCATAGTGCTGAGCAGAACGTTCCTCCCAAGTATGGTTGTTCACTTTATAGGACTGTCTGTTCTTTGGCTGCAAGGCGATTTCACCAGGGCTGGAGTCGTTTCCAGACTTGAAGGGTTTCTACAGCCATGGTTTGAAGGGTTTTGCCAGCCTTTATGAGACCGGGATGTTTGGTCTTTTTAAAGAATTTGAGTTTGGGTCTCCATTTTTCTCCTGCCTTTTACTGTGAGCCTGAGGAGAGTGCAGACCCATGAATTCAAATGGTTAGGAATGGTTCTCATTTGTACCCGAGGGACTGCCTGTACAGTAAAAAGAATCAGCATAAGGAAAACAGAAATCATTGTTTTATTTTCTCACATTTGCTACGTGGTGTTTCTATTTAGAAATGTGTAAATTATTTCACTTAAATCCTTTAAAGGCATAGTGGTTAGCATGCAAAACCTCCACAGGGCAGAGACAAAGCTGTCTACTCATGCAAAGAGTTAGTCTGGGGAACACACAGGGGCAGTTCTGCGCTGTTCACTGGGGCTGCTATGAGCCGGCATAGGCTTGATGGCCATGAGTTTGCTTTTGCATTGCTGTATCCCTTAACACCCTACACATTCAGGGTGTGCTCCACACACCTTTTAGGCAACCTGAATAGATTGTTTGAAGTAACCTCGATAACTTACTGGTTTGAAGATGACTCTCCTTTTTCCCATGATTATTTTGTCCCATTCCTTTTTCTTCCTCTGACCTTGGTCCTGGAACTTGCAGGTGTTCTTTAGAATGTTCCTGTTATGTAAGTGGACATTGTGTAAGTTTCAAGCACCCCACGAGTTATATGTTTTAGTTTGAAGTTGCACTAATACCCCTTTTCCCCAAACAGGGATGAGAAGGAACAATTATCACAGAATCAGCATTCTTTAGCATCATGCATTACTTAGGAGCGTGATGCATTCATAGTTGCCACGTGAATTAGAATTTGTGTTAGTTTCCCTTAGAATGTAGCTGTTGTGCTGGACAATCTGAAGGATAGAAACCACATCTCTGAACTCTATGGACTTCTTGCTGCATTAATTAGTGTTTAACCTCCTCGAATAATTTAATTGTTCTCACTGCATCATAAAACCGTCTCTAAACCTAGTTGTGGTATATAATAGCAGTTGCCTTCTTTCTCAGTACTGTAAGCAAGAGAGTAGCCTCAGCCACCCAAGAGCAGGTATTGGCTGTTGAATCAGGAGAAAGCCACGCATAAACAAGATTTAGCAGTAACTTTTAGAGTGATCAGACTTAGGAAACATGTTCACGTTCATGTTAATGGGTGCTTAATGTGACAGAGAATCTTGGCTTCAGCTTTATATTATTTCATGAAAAGAAATGTACATGCTCTCTATTCGCCTTTTACGTTGAGTACTTCATTAACTTTAAGCAAATGTAAACTGTCAGCTATGAATTATGGCATGAGATGAGCTTTTTTACTATTTTGCAACTTTATTTTTTAAGGGGGGACTAGACTTCTTAATCAAAATCAGGTTTCTCAGTGATAGCTCAGTCATTTTCTTTTAAATGATAGCACTTAACATTTTTTAAAGAAGAAAAAGAATTGTGTTAAGTATTACTAAAAAACCAGTGTCCTATTTTCTGCCTTTTTGGGTAACCAGTGGGAAACTAGTGGATGCTTTCTAAAGCGGTGAGAGACCACTCTCTAGAAGAATGACAACCCGTTAGTTTTCAGAACCACCAACTCCTTTTTTGTTTGAGAGAACATCGCAACCTTCCTTAGAGCGCAGAGGGGGATGATTTCTAACCTCTGTAAATGACGCCGGTAGATGCAGGAAAAGGGAAGTGGTCTCTTTTTCTCCTCCCCTTCTTTGTAACGCACAGACCAACACTGATTGTTTGCCAGTCATGTATCAAACATTGTGCTAACCAGCTATCTATTCATATCAATCTCATGTTAGCTTTGTGAAGTGTGTGCTCTGGGAATTTCCAACTAGATGAGAAAATTGAGAATTTGCCTTAAGTTTTACAGCTGTGGGGGAAGCAGGCCTTGTTCCAGATGTAGCTGACATATGAAAACGCATGCAAACCCAAAGTGGTTGCCAGTAAATACTGTGGAAAAGGAATGCTACACATCAATTGTCTTTAAAAATACTATTGTGAGTGTATAGTCTGATTTACATTTGATTATAGAAGCTGTGTATGTGTTGTTAAAGTTTTTCTCTTTTTTTGCGTAGGAGAAAAGACTGAAAGAAAAGGAAGCCAGAAGAGAAGCTAACAAGAGACAAGTAAAGGTAAGGGTTTCCGTTTCAACCCAAGTAGTGTTTAGAATGTTGAGTTGGAAGTTCTGTATTCTTCTTTTAAAAATGTATTTCTTATTCACATGCACGTCTCGACACTTGAGTTGAATTAATTAAGCCCCATGTGTGCCTGTTGTTTTCTTTCTCATATGTATTTGTTTCTTCTGAGATACAGGATGAAAAATGCCCCAGGTTGTGTATATTGGGCTTGGAGCCACTCTTCCCAGCACTGTTCCCCGTTCCGTTTTGTGCCTATTAAACACAGGAGATACTTGACTCTGTGGGCCAGGCCTGATGGGCCTTTAAGCTGTGTTATCTTTAGACCAAGTCGAACCCAACTTGATAATAGAAAAGTGTAGAAGCACTGGGTTGCTTCCGATCAGCTTTCAGAATATGTGGAGAAAGTCTGCTATATCTCCCACCTTCACTGTATTCTGTAAACCACAATTTTCCGTGAATATATATGTACAGTTTCCCTAAAGACGTATGTACAATTGCAAACACCACCTGTGTACGGCTATAATTTTATCTGGTGTATTTGACACTAAGGGTAAAGCTACTGCATTCTGAAGACATTTAATAGAAATGATTTCCTAGAGCCAGGGCCCAGGAACACATGTCATTTCTCATGCTGTAGCTCATTATGCAATGCCTGGCTAGCCATGATTTCTTCTTGTCAGTTAGCAAAGATCCGACTCCCTTGAGTAAGCCCATAATGTTCTTTGTCATTTTTCTCCATGCTGGCCACAGCACTTAGAGAGCAAGTCTGAGATGATAACTCATGCTATAGCTCTGAAGTAGGAAGCAATTACTCTGCAGTGTAAGATGAAAAGACTGCTTATATTCAGTATTAAATACCACTCTGTCTTCAGAGGTGCCTGAACAGGAGGGAACAGTGTGTGCAGGCTGACTGCTAAATCAAGTGGTGGATTCAGCATATGCTTTCAAACTGCAGACAGGCACCACCGTGGCATGACAATGAGATCTTATGGGGGGATTTTTAGAAGACTTAAGTCTAACGAAAGCATTTCGTGTTTTCAAGTTTTGCTTGTTTAGCATAAAACAAACAAAACACAACCAAAGAAACCCCCTCTTATTTCTGTTTATGAAAATTGTGAAACAAAAGATATAATCTCGAGTCAAGAGGAAGCCCTATCACTGTATTTTATTTCCCTTTGAGGCTTTTTATGCTTATTCGGTTTTTTAAAAAAAATATCCTTGTGGATGCTGTATGCTTGAGCTTTTATAATGGTTGAAGTTGCAAGACATTGCTCTCACCCTTAAGCCTGCCCCCTGGGTCCCTTTTCTCTATTTCTCTCCAAATTGGTGTGTGTGGTTTGATTTTAATACCGTGTCAGCTGGGGAAACAGACAGCTAAGCAGACAAAATCTGTAAAGGCCGCCAGGAACTGAGTTGTCCATTGGGGGCCTTGTGTCAGGTGGGCTCCTCAAGCTGCCCTTCCAGCCCCCTTGGTATCATCCTTTCCCACCCCCACCCCTCAATATTTGTCTCCCCTCATCTTTCCAGCATCTAAGAAAGGAGGACTTTCTTGTCATGGGAAGATCTCGCTTTATATAACCACTAAAGCTTGTGCTGGGACCAAGGAGAGGAGGGCTCTGCGGCTGCTGGGACTCTCCGGCACCTTCAGTAGACCATTGCTGTGTTTTATTATTGCCGTCTGAGTGCTCAGAGATGGCAGCCCCCTTGTAGAGTGATATTTCCAGAGGGAGCTCACAGGATGGGCTGTAGCCAGGATCCAAACATTTGTCAGGACAGCGCGCACAGGCAGCAGTGACAGGCTCAGGCTGACTGACGAAGCCCAAGGAATTGGCTTGAGTCAGCCCCTTTTCAAATGATAGTGACTGGATGAAGACCCTCGTGGCTTTCCAGGGGCCCCTTTGGAAACAGGCGTCTCAGGAGAGAGTATTTGGAGAGCCTTGGTAAAGAACTAGTGACTCAAAAAGTCTGATGCCACAGAAGAAGTGCATGGTGTGAATTATTAGACATCCCTACTATGTGTGCAGGTGTGCACGAACACCACCACCCCGCCCCCGCCCCCCCCAACGCACATGGTGCTGTAAAGGGTCGGTCCTACTTGGTAGTTTTAGAGTAAAAGTTGCCCTCTCTGATACATTATTGTAGGGCTTTTGAATGTTAGTTATTTTCCCATTTTGAACAAGTGAGACACACTGGCCAGAGAGCACTCTTTCAATTCCAGGACCGTGGTGCTATCCAGAAGCCATCTTGGTGGTCAGACTCAGCACTGTGTGAGGACTTTGTAGAGCCTTACCTGTTTAGAGTTGTATGAAAGATTGGCATAGCTCTTGAACATGTGTGAAAGGGGCCTTCACTTGCTTTGCTTTTGTTCTGTTCAGCAGCAATCGTATTTCATACCACAAGGGGAGGCATATGGAGGACTTGGAAGTTATGAGTTATTTTATTTTTAATTTCAGGGGAAAAACCACAATGAAAAGTTGAGACGGAATCATCTTAATTTCCTAGAAAACAGGAGCTTTAATGATAGTGTGAGTTTTCAATTTTATGAATGATGATTGGTGATTCTCTCTTCCTTAAAAGGATTTCTAAGAAAAAAAAAACCACTCTAAAATGTGAGTAGGATAAAATAAAAAGCAAACGTACCTCCTAGAGCCCCAGTACAACTTTTGACCCTACGCTGTGACTGTGCAGGATGCAGGTTGTGGGAGCTAAACCTGAACCCTTCATTCACCGGAAGTTGTTCTGAGTGCCGGAGGTGCAGTGATTTCGGAGACAGATGAGGAGACTTGAGAAAGTTCACAGAAGAGTTCTTTAGTATTCTTTTCCTTCTGTCTTTGCTACAAACTTTGTGAAGCCTCCTTGGAGGTCTTCAGGATCTTGAAACTTTCTTTTGCAGACAAATGTTTGTACCATGCAAAAGAATTGGTTCTGCTTTGTCTCACAGTATGTCATGCACTCTTGTAACTTAGACATTTTAAACAGAGATCTAAAAAAATAGTAGTAGCTATGATCAATAGGCCACGCTGCTTTTTTTTGGGTTCAGAGAGGGTGTAACATAGTTCTGGAAATACAACTTCACCTCCTTCCCAGCTTGACTGTCTCATCTTTCTTTGATGGGCACAAGCGCCTGTACCAACCACGGGTGGCTAGAATAATTTTTCAGAAATATAAAGAAAAGAAACTGTGCATGGAAACTTGAGGAACTAGATCCCCAGAAAAATCTCAGTGTGATAAGATTTTGAAAGGAAAGTAGAATTTTGCTACCATATGTGCTTGTGTATAAGCTGAATTTTTCAGCACATTTTTAATGCAATTAAATTAGGTGCCTCGGTTGATATTTGGGTTGGCTTATACTTGGGTGTATACGGTACATAGAAGTATTTTGATAGAACCTGAACAAAGGAGACTTAATCCTGGAAAAATTTAGTGTTTTTATGAGTATATTACAGATGACCATAGTTCCTTTTTTTGGACGGCTGCTATATTAAAATAACTAAAATGGTGTCCTGGGTTTTGAAAATGAAATTTTGCAACGATCACAAATTTTCATTTGTTGCCTCTTTCTGGATTTCTTTTTTTAATTGCCCTAAGGCATTTAATTCATTTTCTTAGCAAACAGTAGGCTTGGGAAATAGTTCCTTGTATACCAAAAATAGTCTCAACTAACAGAAAAGCCATTTGAGACCAATCCTCTTAGAATGGGATTGTCCCCTACCTGCAAAGTGTAAGTTTAAAATTTGGATAGATTTGAGATGAGCTGGAGGGGTTGGTTGGTTTTCTCATCAGAGTCTATAATGACTTTTTCTATGGCCCACCATGAAACATAAAACATAGCTTTTTCTTTTTCATTTTTATATGTTCTTTCTACATTTTGGGGATTAAAAAGTTTGTTCACTTAGAGCAGAGTGTCACACTGGCAGCTCACAGGCTGTATGTGGCTCCCAAGGTAATTTTTTGTGTCCCATGATGCTCTGAAATAAAATGTAACGAGGGAATTGTGTGTACAGTATTGCCTCGATCTCTCCTAAGCGCTATTTTCTTCATATTTTTTTCTATTTTCATTTTATTTCAGAGCTTGGTGGGCCACAAAAAATTACCTCGGGGGCTGCATGCGGCCCACAGGCCACCAGTTTGACACCCCTGCCTTAGGGAATAGTAGTGATAGTTCCTAGTTGAAGATTAGACAAACAAAGACATCATTACTTGACAAAGTGAAAACTGTAATAATTAATATCGGTCCTTCAAAATATCTGACATCCACTGAGTGGTTTAAAGGCAAACCAGAGGTGCTTGATCCCCACAGAGGATGACGGGGTCATTTGTGTAGGACTCTAGGCTCCCAGAGTACCAGTGGCTACAAG